AAATTTTTTTTTAAAAAATAAAAAAATATACATCATTCCTATTACATTGTTTAAATGTAGGCTAGTTATCATGCTGTACATAACATCCCAGTTACATTCTTCAAATGTATAAATGTGATACCGTACTTAAAATACCTGCAACATTGTACAGATATAGAGTGCCATAATATATCTCCTCCACAGCCAGGTGTCTAGTATATTATTGGTAGGATCAATGCTATTGCCTTGTACTTCATTGTTTACCTTCCAAGTTGAGTCCATTGATTTGATGGGCCACAGCTGATATTCTCTAAATATTTGTGGCTATATCAGATACGTTCTTCCACTTGTTCGTTTAGAGTTCAGGTAAACAAAAGGCTTCAAACATTTAAAAAGAAATATCTGATTTCCATAAAAACAAGAGATACAACTTTGGAAGTGAGGAGAGTAGTGAGGAGAGTAGTGAGGAGAGTAGTGAGGAGGAATTCTCCCAAACACGTGGCGCCGAATTCAGACCGCTGTGTAGGTCACCGCTAAACTTGTTGGTAGTTACTTTGCCCATAACCAAGTCACTATTTTACCTGTAGATCCGATGCTCTTTTTAAATAAATGAATGAGACTGGAAAAAAAAAGCTTGGGGTATCTTTTATTTTCAGGACTACGGAACTGACGCTGGCTCTGACATTTGGAAGGTAGTTTGCATATTCTTTTGAAAGTGTCCCATTTAAAATGTGTCATTCATTTCACTCATAAAAGTAATCCAGCCATATTATGATAATATATTCTTTCTATAGCTCTTGGAAACAAGCCGAAGGGCTAGAACTCAAATGGCCGCTGGATTGGAAAAGTAAAGTAAGTAAAGTATAGCTCTTGATAGTGCATACTTTCACTTGCCAAAAAGGGTAAACAGCCATGTAGGTCATTTTCATAAAGTCTATACATAAAAACTTGTAATATTATAGTTAGCATAGTCTTGCCAAACCATGGACCTTTAAGTTTGATTGATTTGATAGTGCTTCAGGGTCTAATGACCCATAATGACAACAACAACGACAATGTTTTTACCATAATCTGTGAGCATATCGTTAATAAAAACTGTAGTTCTCATGAATACCACCTCCATGTCTTTTTCAGGCACCTTCATGATGTTATGACGTCTATTTCTCAATCAAGTACAACAGAACTCATATGCATGCCAAAGCACAGAAACAAGCAGATTCTCCCAGTCAACATAATCACAAATACTAACACCAAATTTGTACAAATGATAACATTTTAATAGAACACATGTCCAGTTTGGGGGTTGGAGGTATGATTACGGACAATGGGCACTTCAAATTCTCAGTCTCAGAAAAATGTAGGAATATCAACAGTAGCCCTGTGCCTCGCATTACACAAAACAGGTCACACCACGGAATGGCTCCAGGGGTACTGCCCCCACTCCTGTTGTAAAAAAAGACATTATGTGAAGACTCGGATCAAATGAACAATGAAGAAACATACCCTTTCAAAGCTAAAACTAAAACATTGTCTTCACAGAAACTTTTCTTCTAAATTCTAAAAAAACCCACCTCAAACAAACTGGTGATAAGTGCTGGGGAACGTAGCCATCATCTACGTTGCAAGGGAAATGAATTCAGCAAAGGAATTTTCTGGCATGACAACCACCTATGTAAAAATGGTCCACCGCCAATTTTTTTCTTTGTTCTTTTTTTCTATGAAGGTATTTTTACATCTCCTTCTACACAACTTAGATTGAGTAGGAGGTGGCTTTCGACTTTGCCTGTTAGTACCAACCCGGGCTGAGATGGATACAACATCCTACTAGCAGAAAGATCGAGATACCAAATATAAAGTTGTCCAAACACAAATCTTCTGCCTGTGACAGAGAAGTGACTGACCACTACACCACAGACACTGGTTCACCACCTGGCACACAGACTTACGTCATCAGAAGAAAGGGAACAAACTCTCAATGAAACATAACAGACCTTATACAGTGCAAGTGAATTTCTACCTCCTGAGACTTTGATATACAGTCAAACCTCGTTGTACCTCCCCCTGTTGTACCACCAGCCCTGCTTACCGCCAGGTTTTGCCAATGTACGAAAAGAATCCCCTATAAAAACATAGTATTTGTGCCTTTACATGGCAATCCGCGATGGTTGTACGCTCCTTATTAAACTACTGTAAATTTACCCCATTGTACCGCCAGAGAACTGACAACCAAAAGTACAGAGTACACACCAAGCTACACAAGGTGCTCGGCACATGCACTCGAAGGTTGCTTGACAATCTTTCACTCACAAGTCTCTATGAGCTAGGCCTAAGTCTAGATCAAACGCTATTCGCAGATTTTCTCCCTCCCCGCCCATCCCAACTCCCCACCCTTGTCCTGTAGATATCAGGTAATATGGATAGATCTACAGTGATGTAGTATGCCGCAAGCGAACGCAATACAATGTGTAAGTAAGAAAAATAAAACACAACTTTGTAATTCAGCATCAAATTTCGCTCCTCGTGTGAATCTGACTAAATTTGATGTGCTGATTATGCAAAAGCTATTATTTTTAGACCTTGGTCAATATAATAAAAGAGTGGAAATAAATTTTAAGTCGCCTGGAGAAATTTTACAGAAACCTCGCCATCTTGGCCCCTTGGCAAAATATCTGGCGTCGGGGGATATCAGTTCAACAGAGGACACGAAAACCTCTTTGCACTGCCAGCCCTGCTGTATCACCAACTTCATGCTCTCTCAAGGTAGGCGGTATAATGGGATTTGACAGTATTACTGCAGGCTATACATCCAAGGCTGCTGCTGAAATGATTTGTGTAAGTGTTTGTGGATTTCGTAACAGTGAATCTCTATTTGTTTAGTGGGTTTAACACCTATGTACCAGAGGTTTCACCTTTCTCCAAACTTAAAGTATGCCCCAATGTGCACTGGTGTAAATCTATGAGTCAACCCAGAGAAGTTCGGGTCCATAGGATCTAAAATAAATTAAATGATCAGTGTGCAACATGCCTGCCACAATGACACTTGTTTAAAGGTTCTGATGCGTCAACAATTTAAATCACAATGCTGAAATCAATGTGCTTTTGCAAAATGGATCCCTCACGTTTTAAAACAAACTTTATAAACATTTTACACTAAGATATTCACATTGAATACATCAAGCAGAACTCTAAAAAATTCACGTATAAATTTCTTTTTGTTTCTGACAGCAACGAAAAAGACATTATCTTTTTTTTTTATTAGCCTCTGCTATTTTCAATCAGAAGTTTGTTGCATAAAGCGACCTAAAGATTCAACTCTTTCATAATCTTTTATATCCGAAAAAGTGCATGTAATTTATTATAACTGCCATGAGTGTTTATCGTAAAACGAAACTACTCTCTTAATGATAAAGTACTGAAAATTGAAGAAAGAACTGAACAAAAAAAACCCCAACTAAAATTGTACATCTCGCAAGATTTACAAACCTATGGGACTGATACCCCTCCTCTGCATGTGCAATGTGGCATAACATTAGATTCACTAATCAGGACCAACTCTTATAATAACCTACTGCTTAGAATATCAAAGATTTACGAAATTCTGCAGAAACACCCTGACAGAAAAATAAGACCAAAACAGACGTATGAAACAAAACAAAGAAAATATTTTAACAAATTACAACACATAAATGTAAAACACTAGGGTCAGGATAGCACCATTGGCAAGTGGGAGGAGGATGAGGAAGACGCTGTAGAGGATGCTGCTGCCCCTCCAGACTTGACCGGTGATGGGTTGATGTTGGGGAAGGAAAAGAGACCACACAGGGCGTCCTGCAGAGCGCGGTGACACGCCGTTGCTTCGCGAAAACCTCCAGCCCTTTCCTGGTCTGTGGCAGCCCGGATATTTCGTAGATACCTGAAAAGGAGTAATAAATTTTTTAAAACATCTCTAGCTGAACATGGTAATGGAGGTCAACGGTTTGTTTCAACATAAAATGCTGGAGACAAGCGAGAATGACAATAGTCTACTTTTCCAACATTCAACTGTCTTAACCATTCCTTACCCCTCAGGAGCTGTCCCGATAAATGCCCCAAATTCCTACGATAGGGGACCTAATTCTCTAAAAGTACAATAAATATCTTTTTATAAACTCATTAGAAAAAAGTTTTTAAGTAATGCTCTGAAAAAGATATGCATCTCTACATAAGGAAAAGAATACTGGTTCTAAAGAGCCAGTTTCCACTGTGGTCCAGTATGGGCAAGTTATTTCTTTCTCCCATTATAGTTGCGACGACTGAGTTTTCATTTGTAATCCATCTTTTCAATCGAATAAAATAAAAACAATCAACTCTTCCAATGACTTAATATACCAAAGGAAAAACTTTCAACTAGTTTTTGTTTGGTCAAGATTGCTTTACGGGTCGAGTTATTGAGTACATTCAAAGTTTTAATGGATTTGTCCAAGTTGCAACACCATTGCACCCTCCATTTCGTCACATTTTCTTTAACCCTATCAGAACACAGTGTTTTACTATCATATCCATACGACGTGGGGAACTTTGTGTCACCCCTTTCCAAAGAGGAAATTACTCGCTAATCCGATCCGTACACTTTGCATAGTAGTCTGTCAAAATGATTTTTTGAGAAATACTGAAAGTTTGAAAGACATCTTCGTACCAGAAGTATTCTAAAATGTGAAGAAATCAACCCGAGGGATACAAAATGACCCCAGGGCGTACAGATAGGGTTGAAAATTCACACATGCACTATTTCGGCATCGATTTTGATATTTCAAAAACTCAACGAAAGAATAGTGATCCTATCTTTGCTTTACTGTCTTGTCTTCAGTCATACATCTAGTTGGACTATCGGCAAGTGCACATTTGTCTCAGCTGTCCGACAAGAAGGCAAAAAATACATGTGTACGTCTGCTAGATGCCTACATCATGACAAAATACCCACATAAAATATTAAAGTACCTTCAAGCACTACAAATTAATCCATTAGTAAAGCCAACTTGTAACAGCATATATTCTTTTAAAACTCCACTACGGATCTGTTCTTACCCATCGTGGTAAATCTCGTCCATGGTAGGGGGTTCTGGTCCACACCACTCCATGATCAGAGGACAGTAATGGAAAACCTGACCCTGCTCTTGTTTCATCAGATGAATGTTGTCCGAATGTTGGCCCTGAGGAAGGACAAAAGATTGCAGAATCTTGGAAATACTGGTGAACAGTAGGTAAAATTAAACGGGAAATGGGTTTAAATTAAAAATATGTCACTGAACGGAACCCCTGCTTGAAATTAAAATGAGGTAGATTTGAAGGATTAAATGACAGACCATGCCCACCATCTACTCCCATTTAGTGAAGCGAAACAAACTTAAACCAACTGATAACTTGCACTATCAGCAAGCAGACCCTTTCATGGATCCTGGAGAGGAGGGAGGAGCAGCTATGGCAATATGCCGCCTGCAATGAGGCCTATTCTTCAACCAAGTAAGTAACAACCCAATCAAATTTAGCAATGAAAGTTAAGAGAAGAAGGGACATAATAAAGAAAAGCTTGTTTCCCACAATATGATCTTGGTGGTTGTTTCCCCCTGGACATGAATTCTATACACGCCCCCCCAAAAAAACCAAATGACTTTATTCATCTATTGAGGCAACACATTTCTGTTCTTTTTTTTTGTTTTGCAATTCAACCTCAAATACGAGATGCGAACAAAAATCAACCTACAATTTTGATGCCGGTTGAGAAAGCTGTTGTGGCCGCTCTGGCTTCCTGTTCCTCCTCCTGTTGCTGCTGAATGTTCTGTCTGTGGGAACTGATAATGTCCTTGGCCGACATGTCGGAAAACATCTGTGTAGGGAATAAGAATGTTCGATAAAAGCAATTCACGGTGGAGCAAATACAGCTAAATGTAGCTCACTAGGTGGTACTAGTAAAAAAAACCCTGCACTTTTCACATCAGAACCATTGAATCTGACCTCAGATACATTTTTTCTCTGTACCTTAGAGTTAACATGTTATTTCCTAGAGGTGAGATGGGCTTGTTACAAGCCTCACTGATATTGCAGTAACTAAGTATTTGCAACTTTTTAATGATAATAATTAAACTTAGAATCTACATACACAACTGCAACACAATAACGTCAACATACAACAAAAATTCCATGAACAATAAAAACACTAATACTCATCAAGAAAAAGAGCAAAATAAAAAGTTCCTATTCAGCCTGAATGAAAAGAAAAATCGCAACACCTATTTCCTTCTAAGAAGGGTAAATCAGGTCGCAATCTCCAGACTCTGAATCAACCATAATACACCGATGCAGCATTTGATTGATTAGAGACAAAGAGCACAAAAATGGCAATACACTTCGCCAGTGGAAAGAAAACTGTTTGGAAATCTCTAGCATCTAAAGCCGACTGCACAGTTTATGCACACCACCAGACCAACTGTCAAACTGTTATCAAGAACGGAGGAGGAGGAGGAGGAGGAGGAGGAGGAAGAAGTAGGAGAAGAAGGAAGAAGAAAAAGAAGAAGAAGAAGAAGAAGAAGAAGAAGAAGAAGAAGAAGAAGAAGAAGAAGCCTGGAAAGGCACTGTGAGTAATGTTGTAAAAGGTAAGGTGATTTTACCAGGTCATCAATGAGAGATTGTTGGATTTTCTTTTTGGCAGCCTTCTCTCTCTTCACTTCTTCTTGATCCATCATCTTCCTCACAGCTGCATTATGCTGCTCTTCTTCGATCAGGGTGTCCAAGAACTCCTCATCACGGCTCTGCATGACAGAGGAGCAAGTAAATTAGATTAATTCAAGCAAGTTTGGAACAATTGGCACTAGCAGGCGGATTTGGAGGTGGACTTTGGAGTGGGGAGCGGAGCACGTATGGCAATGGCTGGAGTGCTATGATGTTGTTCCCAGGATCAAGTCATCAAGTAAGATATACAAGCAAAACCAGAAAAAGTCACAGAATTTGAAGAAACATCACGAACCCTCTCCCCCCCCCATCCCTATTAAGTAGTATACTTAAATTGAAAAATGAAATAACAATTGATCTAGTATTCCTATTCTGACTAACAGAAGAAGGACGGAAGTAGTGGAAAGTGTTAACTCTTATTTCGCAGGCTTAGAACTTCTCTCAAGCCTTGACTTCTTTCATTACAAATTGGCGAATTTCAATAGCATTTACTTTACTCAGAGCAGATACTCAAAGGGTAGGTTTGTTCCCCCAAGCCAAAAGTAATAAGTCAAGCATATATCTACCATTTTGGATTGGCTTTTCCTAATCTGATCCTTGTTATCTTTCTTATACTGATCGATCATCTTTTTTGTGGCATCGACATCAATTTGGTTGCTCAGGTTGAACACTGTGAAGGGAAAAATAACAAAAAATATAGGACAGTATCTACAAACACATAATATATTCAAACCTTGAGTACATAACATATGACATTATAATGTCAGTACAACCCTGGCTGTTTGGGGTACATCCAAGCAAAGTGACAGAGACAGACTACAATTTACCTATCCAGTAGTTTTGCCATATACAGTGCAGTCCACTTAAACTTAACACTGTTGATTCGAAAACAGTAATTAACCAAAACAAAAGAAAATCCCCCATTTTCCCTCGTTTTTGTCCTTGTAAGAAAACTATAGATACGCCAAAATGCTCACATTTTTAAACGGAAAAGAATTTTAAGGGTTATGTCACTAGCAACCCTTAGTTAACACAAATCATCACGTCTTGTGGACTTCAAGATAACAAAACAGGATAAAGAGATACAAGAATGCATGTGTGCCACTGCGGGCCTAAGAAAAGCATTGCATCGCCAGTGTACTGTGTGCCAACATCACACATCAGAGGGCCTGTATACTGTGTGCAGACCTAGTGATGCAAGGATAGCAAATGTACTTGTGTTGCACCACATTCAGTCAGTACGCCATGGTCTATTGTTGAGCTGTGAAGTTAGTTCACAAGCACCCCCTACACATAAGCATGTATGGCAAGTGGTGTGTTTCATGCCGTTACTGGAATTAGGCTTTCCCACCTCTCCAGAATAGCATCTAGCTCAGAATAGAGTGCTGTTCAACTCTTTCCCTTGTTCTGTGATTCTGTTCAGCAGATTACTAACCAAGTAGACAATCTAACATTATGCCCCCCCTGGACGCCGATAGACGACAGTAAGAAGCCGTCCCTTTTCTCCGAGGGACTCTGATCGGCGACGGTGTGATGTAGCATGTACCGCATCTGTATCCTGGTCTGTGGGGATAAGTTTTGTGCTCTCTGCGCGGGTGGAAAGTGTTAAAGAGAAGCACAATGTGTACAGTCTGCAACTCGAATTGAGGTAACCAAAAGAGGTATATGAGACAGAAAAAAACTTTCAAAAAGAGAAATTTGCTGCAGACATGGCATTCCCAACTCTATGTGGGCGACAACCATCACTATTTGAGTAACCCTCTCTAAATAGAAAAAGTGGCTAAAACGAAGAAAATGTAGCAGTCCCACAGATTTCGGTTTAAGCGAATTCCACAGTACACAGACCTGACACTTCATGAAATCTAAAAATCAGAATATCAGGGGGGCGAGAAATCTGGAATTGGTGAACAAAATCGGGATCCACGATAAATCAAGGAGACTGCCAACCTTACAAAAAATTTTCCCGGAGGTGTCCATAAATACAATATATTCATTTATACGCCCTGTGTGGGTGTTTTATCAATATTTTTTTAAATCGCGAAGTATCACGTCAGACACACTCCTAATTCAAGCGTCTACCCGCCCCCCCTCCCCCCACCAATAAATCCCGAAAGAAGCTTCAACAAGTGTACATGAACTTAAGTTGACCCTGTCAACGGATGGTGCCCGACACACGCGGAACTCACATGCCAAAATCATGTCACGTGATGCAAACGCGCGACCGAAAGTTTTATTGATGGGTCTTGACGACGGGCCCGACTTACCAGAGCTCAGACAAAGCCTGTTTTGAAAGTAATAGCAGAACGACGAATAATCATTTGCATGTCACAATTGAAACAGTTATCAGGCCATCATGAGAGAATTCTGAATGGAAACAAAAACTAAACTAGATCTTGAGAATGTCCCAAGTTCGAATGCCAAATGGATACTACTTCCATTATGATTGAAATAACACTTGCGAGCAAAGTTCCAACACAACTTGGGGCGAGTCAACTACGAAATTGGGCACCGATATTTCTGAAAATAGTGCTCTGAGTTCCTGCTGACAAAGTTTAATGGGTGCTTCGCATGCCAGAGACTGTCTGAGAAGAAGGCAGAGTAAGTTTTTAGAAAAATCCGGCACAACAAAAGGAACAAAAAAATCGGGATACATGTTATTGAAATCGGGAAAATCAGGATGCTTGAGATTTGGAGCAAATAATTGGGATATCCCGATTAAATCAGGATGAGCGGCAGGTCTGCTGTACATCAAATTAAATGTCACTATCTGTGATGTTAAACTTTCAGTAGCAAAGAAAAATTGAGCTCGAGAAAGTATCAAAACCAGTAAAATGGCATGCTCTTTATTTTACAAGTGTTTTATTCTGAGCTGAGGACAGCTATTTCTTAGTTAATACCCACAATCTTTTAGGAAACAGAGATAGATTTCTTAAACTATACTAAATCAAAAAATATATGCCTCAGGATCCTGGATGAGAATAAGATAAAACGGCTTTACCCTTGTGGGCTGCTGAAAACCATAGGGTACATAGGCATCGAGTCAATCTGAGCATATTCTTCCAAGCAGAATGATGTGTTAATATTGTTATTGTTATATTAAAATAGACTTGCTTACCAATAGTTTCAATTGTCTCCAGATAGTCATTGTATTCCTTCAGACCAGGGAAATCTTCCTCTTTTTTGTTGAAACTGTAACAATAACATGACATTTCAAATCCTCAGCTATCTATTGATTTACGAAATCATAAAATTATATAAAATACAGAATACATTTCATGTCGAAAGATTTAAAAGTTCATATTCCCAAGTCTCGATTCACAAAAATGACAGGGACTGTAAACTACTTTGATGCTTCATTCACATCAACATAATCCCCATATTCAAACCCTACCCTATCCCCAAGAATTAATCTCTATAAAAACTATCAAATATCTTTTTTTTAAAAACCCTAATAATTTGTCATGAACGTAGAGTTGAAATTCATGTAAAACTGATTTATAAAAAGGAACAAAAAAAGTGCTATATAATCTGAATGTGAAGCAAGTGAGAAAGAAAAGTTGTACCCAAAATCCAAATTTAGACCATTTTTATATCACTACTTACGTACAACATATATATGTACAAATGACATAACACTGGCAAGATGCAGGCTCCCCATTACGCACAGATGTGTGTATATTACGTATTAAACCTGCAAATTACTCCCTTTAAGGTTTGGAGGTGCGTGAGACACGTTACTCTGTAAAATTTTGTTTCGGGGGCTTTGCATACACGTTTTAAAATGTAGGTGGTGTGCGTCTGGCAAGTGTCAATTTCCCTCTTCTCTATCCTGAAGCCGATGATTTGACAACAGACCCACACACATACACGGCAGTCACTTTTTGTCTGTGTCAGAAGCAGTCGACCTACTTAACAGCTGCGTGCAGTGTCTGGCGACACCGGCTTGCTTCAGCAGAGCAGCTCCGACCACATTCAGGCCGCTCGCATTTGCCAGTGTCGTGCCTTGAGTTTACCTCTGCTATGACATTAACCCCATATTTCTAAAGTCGGAATTGACCCCTTTATTTTATTTTTGAATGGCCCAACCACCACCACCCTTGATCCCCTCCAAATGGACAAAACTCTTATTCTAGTCAATATTACTTTTATTTCTTGTGTTACAATGAAACGTTACAGTTGATTAAAAATCGTTAGCATTCAATCAGAGTCATGGTCACTCTGTGTGCGTCTGTGTGAATGTGAATGTGAGTTAAATGATGACATGCAAAAGTTTTTACTGTAAAATTAGGAAATAATTGACTTTTGACGATTAGTACGTTGGACATGAACAAAAAACAAACAACCCTTTAAGTTTCTAAAACAAGGGTTTAAATACCCCGTAAGATAGAAAACCAAAGGGTGAGGAACCTCTAAGTGGGTCTGAAAAGTGGAGCCCTGAAGACGTTAAACAAAAGCTTGAAAAACTTACTCTCTTAGTACTCGTTTCCTGATGTCAATCTCTTTCTCCACCACCGCATCTTCAAAAATCTGAAGACGGAAGTTAGATTTCCTCAGTGGAGTTCCACATTCAGGGCAAGCACCAGAACCTTTTACAAATAGCAATTCAACACAGCTCTCACATCTGTAAAGAAGCAAAGTTTGAAATTTAGCAACAGAGATGACAGACAGAAATCAAAATATGTCTGTGCCTGGTAAAGGGTATAATTTTGAAGAATTGCATTGTATTGTACCAGTGGCGGTGGGTGGGTCAAAATGTGAGTGGGGCTCAGAAATATGGGTAGGTTGGGTTCAAAGGTAAGATTTCCTTTGTTCAGAGGAAAGCATAGAGTTGTGTACATGTAGTCTTCGAAAGCTAGACATTCATAACGAAGGTCCAAAGAACGCGTCAGGTACAGGGTTTGTGGGGAAAGTATGTCATGAACTACCACCCCATTGTCGGGATTTGCAGGTCGTATAAGCCCTTTCTACTACAGTTTTCGGGAGCTCTTTTATAAAATTAAAAAAATAGTCTTTTTCCTTTTTACAAGAAGAATTTCATCTTTTGTAGAGCTATAAAGACATTTGACTGACTGGTGGGTTACTATCGTTGTAAGAGGTGACAACAGTGATTGGATAAGAGAGCTACTGTTTGTGTTCACTGCGTGCTGCTTGAGGCAGAAAATTCTAATAATAAGACAGTCTAAAGGGTTTCAACGGATTATTTCGCTAATTAAGAAACGTTCATTGACGTAGGGAAAGATTTGTGGGGCTCAAGCCCTTTAGCCCTCCACAACACCCCGCCACTGTATTGTACACTTCTTTCTGGAACAAAAATAACTTCTGAGCAACTTGCTATTTTAGTTTTCAAGATAGCTTCAGTACTTTGCAAGATCTGGTTAACTCTTTTTATCTCTGACGGGGGTAAACCCACTATGCCCTTTTTCGGTACTAAATCTAAAAATGACAAAAATGTCACTTAATGGGTCATTAAATCAAAACCAGTCCATCTATTTTGATAGCTCTTCATCTAAAGAATGAACTCCTGGTAAAAGAGACCTGTTTTCAGTAATTGCCAAAGAGTAATTTGATGTCGAAGTCGTCTTTAAGGTGTGCCTGAGCTGCTGTCAGCGGCTCATCGGCACAGGGGTTCCCACCGTGAGCTGCTGGAAGCGGCTTGCCGGAGATAAAAAGAGTTTAAATATTTTTGTAGGTAGGGTGCTGAAATGGTTTTGTGACAAATAGCTTTAAAATTCCCTTAAGATATCTGGATCAAGTTCTATTCCAAATGAATATGTATGAATAGATCGATCAGCCATCTGTGTTGTTTGTCTCTAAAACCCTTGACAACACTGTTCCTACAAAAATTGCAACTTTGAGGAGCAGTTTCAAATGATAAAACTACGAAGTGTTGTCTTTGTTGTGGCTTTTCTTTTTGCCCATGGCCATGCATGAAGTGAAAAAGGGTAAAATAATTTAATATAAATAAATGTGCCACAAAACCTACCATCCTTTACTGTTTTAATATTTACACACCTGGCAACATGAGAAGGGTTATAGGCTGACCTAAACTTTGTTATAATCCTTTAACTGATTCCGTCCATTAGGCCGCTGACAGCGGCTCTGAGTTTTTCCACTGCATCCATTCGACTGCTGTGAGCGGCTCAACGAAATCCGAAACAATTGTGCACTTTTTAACATAGTTCCTACTTTTTAAGTTGTCGAAAGGAAGTAGAACTTGTAAACAAACCTGACCTCAATCTCTGAGCGCCAATATCGATTTAAACTCCGCGAAATTCTTGCAAAAATCGTTGTTTGTTGTCGCTGTGTAGTCTAGATCTAAGGGTAAATAACACGGAGCCTGGTGTATGTATAAAGAAAAAGGCCCTTCAAAGAAAGATATTAAACTAAATTTGTGAAATTCTTCGGAAGATTGTACTTTACCGGACCATCAGTCGGAACTACTTTCGTTATGGTGCCCCTGGTGCCTGGTGGCCCACTATTCTTCCGGGCTCCCCTACTCACACTCCTACTCAATTTTCTATGTTCACACCCTTCGACTGCCAACAATCGACTGACGTCTCTTACCGGGTTTTTCAGTCATCACGACCATGCCACCGTGCCCTTTGACCCACGACCCTGACACCTTGAGGCTAATTGGTCAATCTAATCATGTGGTCCACTATTCGTATTTATTCGCTCGCGACTCTGATGGCTAGGCCTAGGCCTAGTCGACTCCTGGTCTGGCAAAGTACAATTAAGGGCGAGAGATGCACACGAGAGCTCATTTGCATAACTGCAACCCCTCGGCCCTGCTCGCGACTTGGCGAGTGCTGCGAAGCAAGGCTCGGCCTGTTCCAACTCTAATTAGATCTACCCCGATTGTCCTCTCATGTTATTGTATATGTGTGTGTGTGTGTTTTTAAATTATTGTTGCCAGGGGGGCCCCCCCTGAACCCCCCCTCTCTGTTTTTACATTGATTTGTAAACATGACTGTCTGCTCATGTTATTGTTTTGCATTTGTGTGTTTACCTTATTATAGTTTCCAGGGGGGCAAGCCTCCCCCTGAACTCCCCCTCCCCACTGTTGGTATGATACACGGTGGTCCACCAAAGTTAAATCCCCTGCCCACCCTCAACCACCACCTCTAGCCCACCTCGCCTCGCCAGTCGCCACTGGCTTGCGCTGTGCGGGCACGAAGTCTCCCGGGGAACTACCTTTTGTCCGCACGTAGAGTACTATGAGTGCGTAGTTTAAGGGCATTTTAAGGCTCTATCAGGCGTGCGTAGTAATCACGGACCGAGACGGGTGGTCCGGTAAAGTACAATCCAGCCATATTCTTGAATAAATGTGTGCTTGGGTGATATCTCTACAATTTTACGTAGGAGCGCGCTGCAGCTTCATAAAAAGTAAAAAAAGTAATTTTAAGTAAAGGGACAGATGACAATCATTATGATTATGAGCATGACAGGGTCTCCAGCCAGCTGCTAAGTTAAATTTTAATTGTTGAACTCATACAACCCCAATGAAACGTTGAAAGGTTTTCAGAAATCTTTTTATTTATTCTAACACAAGTGGTACCTGTTTAACATAAATAACAGTGAAAATGTCTTGTTAAAAAAGTAAACAAAGTTACGATCTTAGCGATTTATTTTATTTAAAAAATACAAGCTCAAGCTGAACTTACAAGGAATGACCACAGGCGTTGACCATGAGCTTCAGAGATGGATTTCTGTATTTTGTAGTTTTACATCTTGGGCAGCCTTGTTCATCCATTCTCAGCCCTGGTATTTATGTTTTTAGAACCGCTAATGACTTAACAGATAGGGATCAATCTTTTTTTCTCATTCCCCCAAAACAATAGCAACATTCATTGAAACCATGTTTGGCTGAATATGCGTCAATAATGAATTCCGCGTACAAAAGAGCTCATCAAGGGACCTCATTCTAGAATTTTTAAAACTTGTTTTTACCTGGTCGCTTCCCTTAGATTATCGTTCCCGCTGACTTGCGCGATAGGCCTAGGCCCTTTTTCGTTCAGTAGTTGGCCTGCATGTATCATCAGCCCTTATGTTATTACCATTCCAGTAATGTGTTTTCTTATACATGTCTAAAAAAATAATCTACCATACAGTCATTTTCATTTTTCCCTGTTTACCCCACGTCCAATACATTTTAAATGTGATCAGGGATATAGTAGCCTAATTAGTTGGTGCTCCTTTGCCCCCTCTTGGCTACGCGTAAGAGATTTTTATATTTGTTTTATTCTTTCCGTATCCTTCTTTCTTTTAAAAAGAATTAATAAGCTCTTCAGGTAAAATATGTAAACAGCTAATGCCTTTTCTGTTTACTGAAAAATTGAAGCTCCCATCATTTAGCATTATAGCTTTTTAAAAAAATGCGTGTAATGACTGAAAATGAATTTTGATTGCTCAAGGGGGAGGGGGGGGGGGGGGGGGTTACTGTCTATTATTATGTCCTCGTCGTCGTCAAATACATCCATAGACGTTGGGCCTTATTATCTAAATTAATAATTAATTAAATTTGAGCAGTGTATACAGCACTCAAAACTGTTTCATTGCTTCATAAAAACCCTGTTCATCCCTTTAGGGCCACTTTCTTAAGCAGTCACAAGCCCTGATTATGTAAGTTAACAATTATTGGATTGGTTGAGTCCACGACCAAAAGGTGAAGAAAAAAAGGGGGTGGGGGTATAACTCCTACTAATCTCACGTGGCTGCTGTGAGTGCTTGTTTGTTGCTTTTTTGGGGTGGGGGTGGGGGATGTTTTTGTTTGTTTGTTTGTTTGTTTGTTTTGTTTTTTGTGGGTTTTTGTATGTGGGTTTTGTTGGGTTTTTTGTTTTTTTTTGGGGGGGGGTGGGGGTTGGGGGGGGGGGTAGGGGTCCCCTCAACTTGTTGGGGGGGGGTAGGGGTCCCCTCAACTTGTTGGGGGAGGGGGGGTAGGGGTCCCCTCAACTTGTTACCGCTCTATAATCAGGTCGTTACTCGATTTTTTGTCCTCTCTGTTTCTTTGCTTTCTGTTTGTGTATTCACATAATATGTACGTTTAGTTAATTAATTACTGTCGAAAAATCTTGAGACCGTTGTTCCCACCTCGCGTTTAAAAGTTATTTTTAAAAAAATTATGTATTGCCTAAAGTGGACTTAATGATATTATTTAATGATCGATTATTTTGACTCGTGAACATGAATTCAGGATTTGTTTTCATTCACAATTAAGTGATGCCATCTCGAATAAGAAGTTTTGTTTAATTAGGCTCCTATTGTGGGTAAGGTTTTTGTGCATGGCCTCATTTCTACCTGGTTCTTTGTCTCGCTTTGATTACACTTTCAAACAAGTCAGATCCCAGCCCCTGATCCTCGTCGTTGCAAAAATCAGAATAGTTTAAAAACAACTAAATACAAGTGGTGATAAAAAGAATTTCAGTTATTATACATGTATGTCTTCTTTTCCTCGATATAAAAAAGGTAAGCATTTGAATCAGCTTGTAGGCCTGGAGATTAATTCTCTAAAGCCTAAGAAGTATGTTTGTTTTACTGACCAATTCGAGTGATTCATTTTATCTGTTTGATCTACATATTTGCCAAAACGGGGAATTCATACCTATTAAATCAAAGCTGATGAAGCAAAACAGAGGTCAACTTGATATAATGTGCACTGGCCACCGCCATTATTCTTCCCGACTGGAATCAGATCTGATAGTGTATTTGATGAGGGGGAGCATTTGTGTCACGACGCGGTAGAATCAAGCGCTCGTCATTTTTTGGGCGTGTGGAGTTATTGGTATCATCTAAGATGTTTTCTTTTGCCTTGCTTTGGATGAAAAAAATGTCCATTTTTCTTAAATAGTAGCCGAGATATTTGCTATTGAAGTAGGTGGGGGTCGCCTGGTTTTAGAGGTAAACATTATCGAGGAAATGGCTGCCCCTGCCAAAGTTCAATAATTTCAATAGCTTTCGAGTCCTTGAAAACTGAAAATATACATTTTAAAAAAATCTTTAATCGCCGTTTTTCAGTGACATTTCATGGAAATGTGTCGTTATATGGACATACTTACTACTTACTACCCGTCACGCCATCTGGCGTTTAGGGCAGCAAAAAAGGGTCTCCAGCTCATTCTGTTTTCGGCCATCTTGGTCATTGTCCCCTACGAATGGTTCTAGGACTTCATTTTAGACTCTGCTGTGCGTCTTCAGGTCACTTTGGGTCTTGCGATGTCTTTCGGGTGTCCAGTGGAGGGCAGTCTTCACGGTAGAGTCTGGTTCTCTTCTCAGAACACGCTCAATCCGTCTCCATCTTCTCCTTGTTATTGTGGTGGGCATGTCCTCTTGCCTACATTTCAGTAATAGATCTGCGTTGGAAATCTTGTCCGGCCAGACGATTTTGGGGATTTGGCGTAAGCTGGTTGTGTGAAAAGAAGATAGCTTGGCACGATCATGATCAGTCATCCTCCAGCATTCAGTTATATGGACATAAAAGGTGCTAATCCAAAACCCAAAAATTCGATAAAAATTGGCAAAGTGGCAGAAAAATTCCTATTTCTATGATTTCATTATTTTGACGAGCGCCTGATTTCACCACGATGCCTCACATTTGTGGTTTCAAGTTTTAACATGCCGTTTCGTATTATGTTTATGAACAGTGGCATGTAATTGTATAGATTTGTAGTTGTAGTACTATGTTAATCATAAATTTTAGTACTGTATGCATACCTTTGTGAAACAAGATTTTATGTGCAAATGAATAACGATGGTTTTTTTTATCCCCTTCCCTACCGAGGACAACCCCTACCCCCCCCCCTTCTTTTCTTCCTATTAAGACCCTTTCCCTTTTCTCAAAAACGTTTGGTGACATCAGGTACACCGTGAGTGCATGAACCCAAACCTCTTTTGTACGCAAGGAACTCTAACCTAAATACCCTGAACCAGTCGCACAATATTTGGCCGATACTGCAGCGAAGCATGCGAGCAGGGCTTTTTCCACAAAGCATTCTACCAGTCACATCACACACTCGGTGTTCACAACAGATTGTGTGTCTCAGAGCGGCCCCCACGGGGGATTTCCAGCAGCAGCTAGAACAAGTCAAACCCACGCAGACAGCTGGAGAAGGGCCGGTAGCGTCAGCAAATGCAACATCCTCTATCGTGAGAACGCGAGGGATATGCCATGCTCAAGCCTTCTGACGTCCTTGCAAACCCTCGAGAGGAAGATGCGAAGGAGGAATAGGTGGATGAACATCTCTTTAACGCCATGTGCTGCGCAGACGAAGCAAGCCATCTTGTCACACAATACATACCAGAACTTTCTGTTATGTAAACGGCGTTGCACCAGGTGCCAAAAATAGACGCATTTGTTTTCTTTACTCATCAATTTTTAATTACTGTTTACCCCAAATTTCCGACGTTCTAAAGGACAACCATATGCGATATTGCGAGAGTCAACGCGTGTTCCGGAAATAAAGGCGGAAAGATAAACTTGGAAGATGATCAGAAACTGAAGACAATTTGTGTACAGCTTCTACTTGAAAAACTTGGCCGCCTCAGGTGGGACAACCCGGCTCTGTCCTCCAAGGCGACGCGGCATTTCGTCGACTCGATGATCTTTTAGTACAACGCGAATTTCCTTTTTCCAACTATAAGTCTGTAGCTTTTTTCATCAGAGAATTAATTGATAAGAGAGTAAGTGAGTGAGAGAGAGAGAGAGAGAGAGAGAGAGAGAGAGAGAGAGAGAGAGAGAGAGAGAGAGAGAGAGAGAGAGAGAGAGAGAGAGGAGAGGTAGGGAGGGCAGAGTGGTGAGGAGAGTGGACACGGGGGGACGGCATACGTGAACCTTACGTGTACTTGTTATTTCATCTCAAAACTTCTTCCCTGGTTATAAGATAGTTATTTGTAATAAATTCAACTCATCTCCCAAATGGCATAGTTTCACAACGCAATTGACTGTCTATTACTCTCGATATTTGGTTGATTGGACCCTTGATCAAACTGACTTCATGTGCAATGCAACGTGCTCGTAGTTTCTGTTCTTGATTTGCAAAAAGCTTTTATTTAAAGTGAAATTACGTTTTTCTATCTAGCCTATCTTTAAACTCCAAATTGCTTGTCCGGCATTTCGTTGTACCGTACTCAGGAGCCAGCAACCGACATGCCAGGTACGCGCTGCCTCTCCTAGCCCAAGCTGATGACATATTCCGCGCGTATTGTGTAAACCTCACGTCAAGTGTTTCAACTTTGGTTACACAACGACCCCACACAAACCTCCCGCCAGCTCCTGACAACCCTCGAGGCGAAAAACATGGCGGCTGAAGCTTTTAATTTGCAAAAAGAAAAGCTACGGGCAAACTGTTTAGAAAATACTTCCGTTGCATCTCCACAGCTGGTTTAGGAAAAGGGCTTTTCATCGGCACGCAACAGTCAATAGCCGGCTGACGCACAAGGCTGGGTTTTGGCCACAGTGTGGAAATAAATTAAACAGGCGTGTTCTGAGTAAGCTGGTCTGACTTTTGACCTAGTGCAGTAATGGCTATCAAGATATCACGTACCGGTACTGGTAACGTGAAGATTTGAAAACGCCATCTGTAGCATGTCTTGTAGCAAGGTATCGTAATGTCCTTCCTAGAAGCAGATGATTAAACACTTTTTTCTTTCATTGTTTCTATTATGTGGAGGGGCGATAAACATTGTATTTTTCAAATTCCAAATCCTGGAGCTAACAAGGGCAATTTTATTGTTCTTACATCTCGAGGCAAGGCTTTAAGCAAACGTGAATCATTCTGTTAATTTTACACAAACGAGTGTCTCTAGATTCATTTATTGTCTCTCACCTGTGGACCGGCGTCTGTGGAGAAGCGGTTAGGCTCCTCGTTGTCGCACA